AACTTCTCAAAAATTGTAGACCAGTGTAATTAATGAGAATTAGCAATGATGGGCAAAAGAAATGAACAATGATCCGAATCCTTCTCCAAGCCACAAAAATAGCTTTGTTGGGTGGTAACATTTAATTACGCAATGCAGACAGCCACAGAGATGCCAGCTAGCAATGCTCAAATGTGGAAACTTCTCACAAAATAATGGGAGATCAAAGATCCTGTCTTTGCAGTGAAAGTGCAACTACAAACAAAGGAATCAGGGATGCCAGCTTCCAGGGACCATGGCATTTCCTAGTGCAGCAAGTAAGCCTGCCAACGCTTGGTGGTGGAGATGGATGAAGCAAGGAAAACAGAAATGTCAGGCACCAGTAGAGAGAGAGTGAGGGGCCCAGGAAGATGGAACCAATGGAATGTGCTTGTTGGTCTTGGGGAAATAGGGCTCCCTACTGAGCTCTCACTCACGTTACCAAAGGTTGAGCCTGGGAAACTTGTGAGGAAAGCATAGGAACGGCACCAGTGATTCTAGTAAATGGCACTGTGTTTGGTGGAGGTGTAACACCGATAGACCCCAGTCGGTGGTGGGCGGGATTGAACTTGGAACGTTTGAAGCTTAGTGCATGAGCCTTTACTGCATGAGCTAAAAGCCACATGGCTGGTAGCTAAGGCTATAGCAGACTCTTTAATCTTTAAGTAGTGTCAGTGCCACTAGAGGGGACAGAGCACCACACCCAGGAGGTGTGTGGGTTACAGAGGCACCATGCATTAGATGGGATCTAAAAGCAAATCCCAATGGTATAACTTGCTGGTGGTCATTAAAGGTCTATTGTCACTGTTCGAAAAGATTGCTTTGCTCAGCGTCCAATTCTGGCACCTACATTCAACCAACTTAAAATTCTCTCCCACCACACTCCCGCCACTGTCTATCTCTCAAACACACACTGAATAGGATACTCTTCCCTTTCCAGCCCAAACTGTAATGTACAGGTGTTGTGCACTATTAAAGAGCTGACATGTTTCACTCCGGAACGGGTTGCTATTCTGTATATGGTAGGTACAAAATACTGCTCTTATTACTTCAGTAGCAGGTGAAGTAATCCCAGCACAGCTTGTAAAGCACGTTGGAATGAAAGACACTTGTAGAGCTGCAGGTATTGATACGTATCATTTATACTTATAAGCCACAATTAATTTTAGATGCAATTTTCCCCTATTAGATAGACATGAACATCCACTCCAAGAGACCACGTCACTTAGCCCGCTGTTTCCTTTGATCCAGCCTTTGGTCCTATGGGAGCTCTACGTGTATCAGAGATGAGTTCCACGCTTGTGCTTTGACTCCTGTGATGTACTCAGCAGCAGTTACAATACCAGTGTTGTCATTGCAGGCCACAATGGCTCCCAGGATGCTTTGCACACATTGGTTAATTCAGCCACACATCCAACACTGTTAGCTAGGTAAATACTATACCCATGTTACAGGTGAGAATGCTAAGGTGCAGAAGAATTACATGATTTGCCCATGACCACATGGGAAGTCTGTGGCAGAACTGGGAATTGAACCCAGGTCTCCTAGCTCCTACTCTTGTGCTTTTTTAAAAAAAACAAAAACCTCCTTTTGAGCCACTCAGTGCAACAGAACTGTGATATCTACAGAACACTTGAGAGATAGGCAGTTGGTATGCTGTGACCATGGTTTACCATGTTGTTCCTAATCATCTCATTGCTAGCTTGCATTGAATCCACCTGTTTTCTCTCATCTTATATTTAAATTGGAAGCTCTTTGGGGCAAGACTGTTTTTTTTTTACAAAGCCTAGCACAATAGGGCCACTTGGCATTAGCACAATACAAATGGTCATCCACAGTCATCTTCCTGGTGTCCATCACAGCTTACAGAGTCTCTAGTGACCAGTCTACTTTATTCTACCCTCTTCAATAATAAGGTACTGCAAAATACATGACCTAAATGCCTTCTGAAGGTGGGGCCATGGTTCCACCTTCCTCGCCCATCCTGCCAACATTTTTCTCACCCCAATGAGCCCATCCCAGCTAGGCCTTTCTCCACAAACCTGATGTCTAAAGGTCCCTACAGTCACTGACCTGGAGTGGACTAAAACCCATTAGAAACACTACCGTAACTCCATAGGAAACCAGGCTGAAACAGCTGTCCTACTGCTCCTCTCACTGGAACCTTCTGGAAACTCTGTGAGGTCCAATTAAAGTCAATAAGAGTTCAGTGTCTAACTCCCATTTGTCTTGTTGTGTTTTAGCTCTTCTGCTTCAGCTCCTGGCCTGAACATGAGAAGGAGCAGGGAAGGGCGTTTGTCGTGGGCAGGGGATCGCTAGCTATCTGTACAGCCCCCAAGGGAGATGGAGCACACAGCCTCTCTGCACCAGCTCTCCTTTCAGCTCCAGGTTTCGTGTTTCAGCTCCGTCAGGTTGTCTCTGACCGGGGTTAGTCAGATTGGAAGCCCCTGAAGCAGGCAGCATGATGCAGCTGAAAGAGAGTGAGGCCCCCAGATGTGAGAAAGAAGGAAAAGAGTGGCGATGCCTTCACGGTGGGCTGATATCACTGTCCTCTCTTACCCTCTTGTTCACAGCCACTGTGCCGAACCACGGCGGCCACATAGCAGATCAGCCTGGGACGCTTGGAGGGAACGGACAGATGAATCTGCAGATCAACGGGGAAACGTTCTCCGAAGGGGACATGCTGCTCCAGGTACTGTATTATATCCTAGCCCTCTACATTCACAGAGTGCAAACAGCACTTTTTAAACTAAGAAATATCCTGCACTTCAGTTGATGGTGTGCGATGGATGAATGCGCTGTGGCAAAGTCACTACTTTGAATCCTGCGCTACTGCTTAGCTGTGTGTGCTTGGACATCCCTGTGCCTCCATGTAATCTGCCTCTGAAATGAGTCTAATGCGAGTGTTGTTCCTGAATGCTGTGAGATTTTTGGGTCTGTCTTCACTGCAGGGTTAACTTGAGCTCTTACCCAGGTGTTGCCCCTGGCCCCTATCCTGTCCACACACAAAGCCCTCTCACCCAAGTTGGGTAGTGCTTTACACCCAATCTTGCTGGCCTGTAGGCTAGAGGTTAGGGGCAGCTTGCATATGGGCTGATAACCCACCCACTTGGCAGTGAGGATGCAGGCTAAGTCGCTCCGTACCGGTTGTCCTCCAGTGCCTTTCCCACAATTCCTCCTGTGTCCCCAGATGGACAGACAGGCTCTCTCACAATTCAGTGGGAAAGAATCCCAGAGCAGCTCAGTTACTGTAGCCCAAAGACCCAAGGGAAGCCTCGGTGGCACACACAGGGAAGTGCAGCACCAGGACGGATGCAGGAATGCCAGTGTAACTTTGCACCAGGGCTACTCCCACCTGGCCCAGGCCAACCTGGGTGCCAATCACCCGAGTTAACTCTGCAGTGAAGACAGACCCTTAATTAGTCTTTAAAGTGCTTGGAGCTCCTTGGATGACAGAGACTACTGTATACAAATATATCTGATGGATAATCACTAGGGCTGTCGATTAATCGCAGTTAACTCATGCGATTAACTCAAAAAAATTAACTTTTATTAAAAAAAAATTTAACACGATTAATCGCATTGTTAAACAATAGAATACCAATTGAAATTTATTAAATATTTTTGGACGATTTTCTACATTTTCAAATATGTTGTTTTCTATTTAGGGTGACCAGATGAGAGGAAGAAAATATCGGGACGGGGGGGGGGGAGGGGTCACTGGCGGAGCAAAACGGAGTGCCGCCAGCGGAACCAAAAAAAGGAGTACCCCAAAATATTGGGACAAACTGTGTCCCAACCAAACATTGGGATGCAGGACAAACGCCTAAATATTGGGACGGTCCTGGTTTTATCGGGACATCTAATCACCCTATTTCTATTACAATACAGAATAAAAAGTGTACAGTGGTCATTTTATATTTATTTTTGATTACAAATATTTGCGCTGTGAAAAACAAAAGAATAGTATTTTTCAATTCACCTCATGCAAATACTGTAGTGCAATCTCTTTTTCATGAAAGTGTAACTTACACATGTAGATTTTGTTTTTACATAACTGTACTCAAAAACAAAACAATGTAAAACTTTAGAGTCTACAATTCCACTCAGTCCTACTTCTTGTTCAGCCAATCGCAAAGACAAACAAGTTTGTTTACATTTAGGGGAGATACTGCTAACTGCTTCTGATTTACAATGTCACCTGAAAGTGAGAACAGGAGTTCACGTGGCACTTTTGTAGCCAGCATTGCAAGGTATTTACGTGCCAGATATGCTAAACACCAGCATGGACGCATGTCTTCTGGAATGGTGGTTGAAGCATGAAGGGACATATGAATCTTTAGTGCGTCTGGCACATAAATAGCTTGCAACACCAGCTACAACAGTGCCATGCGAACTCCTGTTCTCACTTTCAGGTGACATTGTAAACAAGAAGTGGGCAGCATTACCTCCTGCAAAACTTGTTTGAGCAATTGGCTGAAGTAGTACTGAGTGGACTTGTAGGCTCTAAAGTTTTACATAGTTTTATTTTGAATGCAGTTGTTTTTT